TCGTACCCTCTGCCAGCAGACCAGGAGCTCCTTGAGGGCAGGGCCAGTCTTTGGCCTCTCCTTGTATCCCCAGCGCTTAGCCCAGTGCCTGGCACACAGCAGGCGCTAAATAAGTGCTCGCTGACTTGCTCGGTAAGGACCCTCCCCGACTCCAGTCTATCAGGACCCTACGACCTCCTCTGCGCCGATTCCGAACTCGCAGCCCAGGCCGGCTGAATGAGACCGGGGAAGCTCGGGGCCCTTGGAGCCTGGGGGCTCAAGGGAAGCCGAGGCTCCGGGGGTGCCTGACATCCCCCGTGCCCCTTACCTGAGCCACTCCGGCCCGTGGGGTCCGCCATGCCGGGCCTGCCCGGGGCCGGGCGAGAACCGCGCCGCAGGGAGAGAACTACTCCCGGTCTCTGACAGGCGCGGCTTCAAACCCGCCGCGTCAGCTGACCCAGGCCCCGCCTTCGGCACGTGATGCGGAAATCCGTGCGGACCATCCCGACGACGCGACGCGCCCACCCCGCCCCTTCCGCTACGAAGCGGAAGTGACCATGGAAAGCCTGGCACGTGACGCACGCTGGCCTCTCCCGCGTGACCGAGAGGCGGGGCCGCCCCGCGCCCTTGTCCGGGAGGCTGGCGAGATGGAGGTCGTTCCGCTTCGGCTTTCTCCGCTCCGGTGCGTGTGTGCGTCCCTACGTGCACGCCTCTCGATCTGGGGCCCTCCACGTGTCTGCACCGGGGAACGCGTGTGCTTGTAGCCCCGGGCTCACGTGTGTCCGTGCGTCCACGCGGAGGTGGCCTGGAGTTGCCTCCATACGTTTTTGCGTGGGCTCTCGTGTCATGTGTAGGATTCTGTCCAGTTTGCACGTTCACAGCTTTACACACGTGTGCCATCAGTTAGCATGCTCTTGTGTATAATTTATGTTGATCCAGACACATGTATGACCAGTGGATTGTGTGTATGCGGGGCCTGAAGTCTCTCGAGGTCAAACACCCCCCCCCCTTTTTAGGAACCCTGATCTTCAGAGTATGGGACATCCTTTGACCTCTCATCCAACCTTGGAGCCCCTGGAGTCTTACCAGTGAACTGGGGATTGGGAGGGAGAAGAGATTAAGGGGGGCAGGGGAGGGAAGAATCATGGGACCTTTCGGGGCTTATGCCCTAAGATACTACCAGCAACATACATCCATATGTGCACATACACACAAATCCCACAGGCCAGGCCAACAGGCCCCAATCAGCCCTGAAAATAATCTCCTAAAGTGGAAAGGGGGATCTTCACTGTCGTATCTCCAGGGCCCTTCTTTACTATCGCTAGTTCAAAGTAACCTAAGGTAGGTGAGAGTTAGTTTCAGCACCGAGGGCTGAGACCCAATTCTTAGATGGGAGAGACATTCCCACCCCAAGAGCCAGAGACAGTTAGAACAGAGATAAAGTGTATGGGGGGGGGGGGGGTGAGGCATAGACATAGTGACAGAGAGAGGGACAGAGACAGACCCAGAAAAGAAAAAAAAGGCAGAGAAAAGTTTAAGAGGCCAAAAACAGGTAGAGAAAGACAAAAGCAGAGACAGCGCATCTGGACACAGCCACAACAAGGACCCACAAGACATTAGTGGGAGGATTTTACTAACACCATGAGCCTTGGACAATACATGCCTCGACCCCATTGCCAGATTCCCCTCCCACTCCAGACCAGAACTTCCCCAACTACAGCCCTCAGGCTCCCAGTCCCACCCCCCCACCCACCCTTCCCCCAAACTGGCCCTCACCCCCCAGGCCCTATCACTGCCTCTTCCTCCTGTCCCCAGCTGGGCCCCTGAGCAAGGGAACTTCAGTCATCTCCATCATCGCCATCACTATTGCCATTGCCATCGCCATCACCACCATCATACTTGCCACCTTCATAGGTGGCATCATCATCGAATTCATCACCACAGTCACCACCTCTAAAGGTGGCATCATCATCGAATTCATCACCATAGTCACCACCTCCAAAGGTGGCATCATCATCGAATTCATCACCGTAGTCACCACCTCTAAAGGTGGCATCATCATTGAATTCATTACCATAGTGACCACCACCATAGTCATCTTCATTGTCTTCATCACCATAGTCACCACCTCTAAAAGTGGCATCATCATCAAATTCATCACCATAGTCACCACCACCATAGTCATCTTCATTGTCCTCACCAGTAGGAGGCAAGGTGGAGGGTGCCCCTGCAGAGGTCTCATGGATTCCCTCTTTGTCAACCTCTTGGATGTCCTTGTAGATATCATCCTGGACTCGCTCATAAATTTCATCTCGATCACCCCCATAGACATTGTCCTGGGCATCTTTGTTTACATCCTCTGGGATGCTATCATAGGCATCATTCCGGGCACTCTTATAGACATCATCTCGGACACCTCGGAAGACATTATCTTGGGTATTTTCACGCACACCCTCCTGCATTTCCTCGTATGTATCATCATGGACCACCTCATAGACTTCATTTTGGACACTCTCATAGATGTTTCCCTGAGTACTCGCCTGGATGTCCTTGAAGACATTCTCCTGAAGGGTTTCATAGATAGCCCCTTGTCTGCCCTCATAAACATGATTCTGCATCCCCTCATAAATGCCTCCCTGGACACCATCATAGATGCCACTCTGACCCTCGTGGACCCGTCGATGCTTGGTGAGGCTGGAGGCCTGGCCAAAGCCCTTGCCACAAATTCGGCAGCGGTAGGGACGCTCACCAGAGTGCACATGGAGGTGCTGCAGGAGGGCAGAACTTTGGCCAAAGGCCTTGGAGCAGTGAGGGCAGGCATAAGGCCGCTCGCCGGTGTGTGTGCGCAGGTGATGCTGCAAGTTGGAGCTCTGGCCAAAGGCCTTGGAACAATGTGGGCATCGATAGGGGCGCTCGGCTGTGTGTGTGCGTTGGTGCTGTAAGAGGGCTGAACTCTGCCCAAAAGCCTTGCCACACTGGGGACAGGAATAGGGCCTCTCACCTGTATGTGTACGCAGGTGTTTGAGCAGGCCAGAGCCCTGCCCAAAACCCTTGCCACAGACTGGACACTTGTGCGGGCGGGCACCACCATGGGTGCGTAGGTGCTGGGCTAGCAGGGAGCCATGGCTGAAAGCCTTGCCACATCGTGGGCACAAGTGTGGCTTTTCACCACTGTGGCTGCTTCGATGCTTCAGCAGTGTGGAGCGCCAGCCAAAGGCCTTGCCACAGGCGCTACATTGGTAGGGGCGAGCACCAGTGTGTGTGCCACGGTGTTGGGCCAGCGTGGCTCCATGGCTGAAAGACTTGCCGCAGTCAGGGCATCGATATGGCTTCTCCCCGCTGTGCGTGCGACGGTGCTGGCTCAGCCCTGAGCTGCGACGGAAGGAACGCCCGCAGTCCGGGCAGTGGAAGGGCCGAGGTGGGCTGGGTGGTCGGGCAGCACTGCCATCACCAACACTGATGCCAGAAAGGCCTGAGCCTGCTGCCCCAGGAACTAGGTTTGCCAAACCTGGGGTGCCTTCAAGCCCAGGGAGGAGGCCCCCAGTGCTAAAGTCGCTGTCCTGCCCTGGCAGATCAGACTGAGTAGAGGCAGGGGCACCATCTGGGTCAGGGATGCCTTTGGGGGAATAGGTAAAGCCTTTGAGGCCCTCAGGAGCAGGGCTAGTGCTGGGACTGGCAGGTGAAGTGGCACCCTCTGGAGTAGGGAAGCGGCCCTCTGGGGTGGGGGTCCTGTCTGGGCCAGGGAAGGGGCCTTCAGGGCTGGGAGTATTGTCCAGAGAGCCCTCTGGACTGGGGGCTCTATCTGGTACTGGACTGTCTACCACATCTGTGGGAAAAAGAGAAAGGGTAATCAGGAGCACAGGAATTTGGGGAGGATATTTCTCACTCATGGTGAGGACTCTTCCCCACGGAGTTGGAATCCTGGATTGCCTGCCTCCCTCCCCAGTGGCCTGAACTCCTGGATCATAGGGTTTCAAGTTAGAAGGCATCTTAGAGATGATCTGGCCCAATCCCCTAATTTAAAAAATGGGGAAACTGAGGCTTAGAGAGGAAAGGGACTTACCCAAGGTCACTCTATCAGGAATGGAATTTAAACCCAGCTCTTCTGGCTTCACATCCAAGGCTCTGGTTGCCACTACTCACTAGGTACCCCGGCTTGTCAAGTCCCCTCCCTCCCTCCCTCCCTCCTCCAGGGAGCAGGACTGGTCACCACCTTGCAGACCCTCCCCACCCCTCACCTGCAAAGGGGCTTAAGATGCAGCTGTCTTCTTTGTCGCTGTCCAGGGTCTCCCTCGGGGCCCGGCCCCGCGGCTTCACCACCCCTCTCTCCATCCGGGCGCACACCCCACCCGCCTGGAGGACGCGGCTCTGGCCAAGAAAGGAAAGCCGGGCTCAGAGGGAGGAGGGCAGGGGGAAGGGAGGCTCGGCAAACACCCACTCAAGTCCCCCAGGCAGTCCGAGGGGACGGAGCGCCCCCTCCCCGAGCGGGGGCGGTGCAGGGAGGAAGACAGGCCCGGAGCGAGCCCGGCCTGGGGCTCCCCTCGCAGGGCCTCAGTTTCCCCCCCACCCGAGGAGGAGGGCTGGCTTCAAGGCCCGGAGATCCGGGAGACGAACTGGGCCCGTCCGTGGGGCTTCCCCCCCCCAACTCCCCCACGGGAAACCCCAGGCCGGAGTGAGAAGACTGGGGGGGGAGCCCCACCCGCGCCCCCTGCCCCCGCCCGCCCGCGGCCGGATTTCGGCAGATGAAGCGGCAGGCTCGGGCCCTGGGGGCTCGGCTCCGGCCCTCCCCGGCCCCTCACCCCCCCATCCCGGGGCTGAGAACTCACCGCGGCCCCGCTCCCAGGGCTCCGGCCTCGGCCGCCCGCCCGCCCCGCCAGCCGCCCGCAGCCTCCCGCCGCCCCGAGTCCGAGCCCGAGCCGAGCCGAGCGGGAGCTGCTGGGACTTGTAGTCCGCCGGGCCGGCCACTCCGCTCGGCCGTCCGTCTGTCCGCGGGCCTGGGGGCGGGGCCGGCTCCGGCAGGGTCACCCCGACCGACAGCCCGTCCGAGCGAGCGCGGGCGGCGCCGGCGCTCCAGACTCCGCGGCCCCTGCCCCTCCTCCTCCTCCTCCTCCTCCTCCGCTCGTCCGCCTCCCCCCGCGCTGGCCCCTGGCCCCCGGCCCCGCCCCGCGCAGTCCCCTCCCTCCCTGACCCCTCCCGGCCCCCCGCGCTGGCCCCGGCGCCAGCTCCCTCCTCACCCAGCGCCGTCCCCTCCCCACGTGGTGCACCCCCCCACACTCCGGCCGGTCTCGTCCCCCCTTTCCCACCCCCGCGCCCTTCCCGGCCCCCTCCCCGCCCCGCTCGTCCCCTCCCTCCACCGATCCTACCCCCAGCCGGCCCCAGCCGGCCCCACCGGCCCCTTCCCCGCACCCCCAACCCCTGGCGCCGGCCCCCAGTGCCCCCCCGCCTCCTTCCGACGCCGCCCACCGGTCCTGGGGCCCCCTGTGGGGGAGGGGCCGCTCCCCAGCTCTGGCGAATGTGGGAAAAGGAGCCGTTTTCTGGAGTGGTTCGACTTCTTTGTCCTGCCCGACCTCGCTCAGGCCAGGAGCCGCCCCGGCCCCACCGGGCTCCCGCGCCCGGACCTCCCCTAAGGGCTAAGGAGAGACGCCCCCCCCCCCAATCGCGCCGAGCTGCCCCCCCCCGGCCGTGAAGCACACAGAGCGAGCCTAGGCCCCCCTGCCCCCAGCGGTCAGTGCCTACAGTGGCCGAGGGCCAACGCGATCAGTTTCTGGAGCACTCAGACGCCACCGCGGCCAGGGCGACTCTGTTCTGTTTCAGGGCCAGACATTTCCTCTGGGCAGGCCTAGAAAGTCCTTCCTTCCTGCAGGTGCGAGGCTCTCCAGGGTCAGAGGGGTGCACACACAGGCCAGGAGCCCGCGCTCAGCCACCGGTCCGGCGGAGCCCCAGGCCCAGCCCCCAACCAGGCGCCGTTTTCTCCAGACGTCCCCAGCCCGCTCTGACCCAGGAGAGGCCCCCGCGGAAGCGGATCATCTCTTCTTGTTCCTCAATTCCCCCGCCAGCGGAACTCACTCCTCCCGCTTCTCCTTCTCCCAGTAGCCCTCCCAGACGCCTCGACTGCCCCCTGATTTCTCGTTCCTCCCCCACTCCTTGGCTCTGGTGCAGAGAGGCTTGTGTCCCCGGGCAGGTGCCAGCAGCCCATGCCATCTACAGGGCCCGTGTCAGCAGGGCCAGCAGCCCGGGGAAAGGGGGGGAGGCTCATGAATTTGGAGTCAGAGGACCTGGGTTCAGATACTTGCTCTTTGCAACTTCTGTAGTACCCAGGTGATGGCAAAGAGCCTGTGAAACTGAACCTTGAACCTTGCCACCACAAAAGTCAATTGGAAGACACAGTAGTTACAGGTGACCTATGGCTCCAGTCCCTCTATCACAGAAGCGGGGCAAACACAATCAGCCCCCTGCCCCCTGCCGCACAGCTTACAGAAAGCTCCAGGTATTACCATTTTCCCCTACCTGACTCTGAGACATTGTTTTCTGCTTTGAACACTTCTGATGACTGTACCCCTGCCTCTGATCCAGGCCTCTTGCTTTCTCCTCCTGGCCCACCAGAAATGCAGTTCCTCTGCCGAGCTCAAGGCTCTAGCTGTGCAGAGTTAAGCACAGAGTTCCTTTTAACCCTCGTATCCACCGGGCCTTCCTCAGCATTACCCTGGGAGTTCAAGCATGAGAGTCACATAGGATGAGTGGGCTCTGAGGTGTATCATTAGAAGAAAAGCCTGTATCACTGAGACCTAAGATCCTTTGGAGAACCTATGAAATACCTAAAAATACAAATCGGCCCTGAAACCTATGTTGCCTCTTGCTGCTTTCCCAGTGACTGTGGCAATGTCCTGGAATGGGATGCTGAATCATGTGGTTTTTAAACCTTCGGTGAGGTCGGACTCTTTATGACCCCATTTGGGGCTTTCTTGGCAAAGATACTGGAGTGGTCTAGCACCTCCTTCTCCAGCTCTATCCACTGTACCAAGAAACGGCCTAGTATGGAGAATACTGTACAGTACAACAAAAGAAAGAAAAGAAAAAAGAGGAAGGGAGGAAGAAATTGGCAGTCCTAACAGAGGAAAGAACCTAGTAATGAGGTAGTTATTTCTGAATCAGGTTGTTTGCATCAACTGACCGTTGGGACCTGGGTCATTGTAGGCAAGTACTTCACTCTACCTGGGCCTCCATTTCCTCACCTGTAAAGTGAGAGTCGAACTAGATGACCTTTATGTTCCAGATAAAGATCTATATTCGATTAGATAAAAGGTCAAAAATTAATATCAAATTAGAAGAAAGAATAAATTTGAAAAGGCACCATGTACATTGTAACAATTTCAAACTGAACTATAAAAATAAGCTCTTGACTGGAAAATGGATGAAATCAAAGATATTGATTTTCATTATGGACACTTCTTTTAAAAGTTTAACCAATGTAAATCAATCACTGCAACAAGGAAGCCAAAGAGCCCAGAAACTAGAGTACAAGCTCATTAGCAAAACATTATAGGGGCGCAGGGGATGACAGAAGATTATGAGTAATATTGTCTCACGAAACAGGGAAAAGTAGTAAAAGGGAAAACAAATCTGTACTGTTTGGCAATGCATTTTTTTAGATTCGTGTAGAAAGACAAATATATATATATATTTTTAAACATTTTTATTTTAAGTTTTGAGTTCCAAATTCTATCCTTCTCTCCCTCCTCCCCTCCTCCCTGAGATAGTAAGCAATCAGATATATGTTATACATGTGCAATTATACAAAACATTTCCATATTAGTCATTTTGTACAAGAAGACTCGAATAAAAGGAAAAAAAGAAAAAGTGAAAAACAGCATGCTTCAGTCTGTATTCAGTCAATATTAGGTCTTTCTCTGGAGGTGGATAGTATGCTTCATCGTTGGTCCTTTGGGATTGTCTTGGATCGTTGTATTGCTGAGAATAGCTGAGTCATTCACAGTTCTTCAGCATACAATATTGCTGTTGGTGTGCACACTGTTCTCCTGGTTCTGTTCACTTCAGTATGTATCAAGTCATGTAAATCTTTCTGAAATCATCTTGCTTGTCATTTCACTTAGCACAATAATATTCCATTGCGATCATATACCACAGCTTGTTTAGCCATTTCGCAGTTGATGGGCATCTCTTTGGTTTCCCATTCTTAGCCACCACAAAAAGAGCTGCTATAAATATTTTTGTACAAGTAGATCCTTTTCCCTTTTTCTAATGTCTTAGGGGAGATATAAACCTAGGGTGTGCACGGTTTTGTAGCCATTTGGGCATAGTTACATGTTGCTCTCCAGAATGGTTGGATCAGTTTACAACTCCACCAACGGTGCATTAGTGTCCCAGTTTTCCCACATCCCCTCCAACATCCAACATTTTCCTTTTTTTGTCACATTAGCCAATCTGATAGGTGTGAGGTGGTACCTCAGAGTTGTTTTAATTTTGCTTTTCTCTGATCAATAGTGATTTAGAGCATTTTTTCATATGACTATAGATAGCTTTGATTTCTTTGTCTAATAACTGCCTGTTCATATCCTTTGACCATTTATCAATTGGGGAATGACTTGTATTTTTACAAATTTGACTCAGTTCTCTATATATTTGAGAAATTAGGCCTTCATCAGAGAAACTTGTTACAAACATTTTTTCCTAGTTTTCTGCTTCCCTTATAATTTTGGTTGCATTGGTTTTGTTTGTGCAAAATCTTTTTAATTTTATATAATCAATTGTCTATTTCACATTTTGTAATGCTCTCTATATCTTCTTCTGTCCCAAATTCTTTCCTTATCAGTAAATCTGACAGATCAACTATTCCATACTTTCTTAATTTGCTTATTGTATCACCCTTTAAGTATAAATCATGTACCCATTTTGACCTTATCTTGGCATATGGTATGAGATGTCAGTCTATACCTAGTTTCTGCCATACTGTTTTCCAGTTTTCCCAGCAATTTTTATCAAATACTGAGTTTTTCTTCCAAAAGCTTGGATTTTGAGGTTTTCATATACTATTTTAGTATAATGTAATTTGTACCTAATCTATTCCACTGATGTACCACTCTATTTCTTAACTAGTATCAGATTGTTTTGATAATTACTACTTTATAATACAGGTTAAGATCTGGTATGGCTAGACCACCTTCTTTGGCATTTTTTTCATTGATTCCCTTGATATCCTTGAGCTTTTGTTGTTCCAGATTAAATTTGTTATTATTTTTCTAGCTCTATAAAATAATTTTTGATAGTTTGATTGGTATGGCACTGAATACATATATTAAGTGGAATTGTCATTTTTGTTATGTTAGTTCAGCCTATCCACAAGCAATTAATATTTTCCCAATTGTTTAGATCTGACCTTCTTTGTGTGGAAAGTGTTTTATAGTTGTGTTCATATAGTGATTGGGTTTGGCTTGTAGGTAGATTCCCAAGTATTTTATATTTTCTACAGTTATTTTAAATGGAGTTTCTCTATCTCTTGCTGCTGGACTTTGTTGGTAGCATATAGAAATGCTGATGATTTATGTGGGTTTATTTAGCATTCTGCAATTTCACTAACGTCGTTGATAATTTCGATTAGTTTTTTAGTTAATTCTCTAGGATTTTTTAAGTATAACATCATGTCATCTGCAAAGAGTGATAGTTTTGTTTCCTCAGACAAATATATTTCTAGGTTAAATTAGTAAGATAACAAACAGGAAATTGAATAGATTTTCCAGGAGTTTCATGGCAATCTCATCATTGGTGACAATGGATTCAAACACAATTTAGCAAAATCTAAAAGCTTCAAGAAGAATCATTGTAGAATTTTAGGAGGTGAAGGATGCTGCCTACCTCCCGACAGAGAAGTGATGGAATGAGACATATACTTTTGGCCAAAGCTAATGTGGACATTGATTTTGCCTGATTATGCATATTATGAAGGTTTTGTTTTTGTTTTCCAATTGGGAGGCTATCACTAGGTTGCCCCCCAAAAAAAAACAAATGAAGGGTCATTGAAGCATTTTTTTTAGTATACAGAACAAAATATACAGAGAACTAAGTCAAACTTGTAAGAATACACGTCATTCTCCAATTGAGAAAATGGTCAAAGGATATGAATAGGCAATTTTCAGAGAAAGAAATTAAAGCTATCTATAGTCATATGAAAAAATGCTCTAAATCCCTATTGATCAGAGAAATGCAAATCAAAACAAATTTGAGGTACCACATCACCCTATCAGGTTGGCTAACATGACAAAACAGGAAAATTATAATAAGTATTGGAGAAGATGTGGGAAAATTGGAACGTTAGTACATTGTTGGTAGAGTTGTGAACTGATCCAACCATTTTGGAGAGCAATTTGGAACTATGCCCAAAAGGCTATAAAATTGTGCATACCTTTTGACCCAGCATAGCATTTCTAGGGCTGTATCCCAAAGAGATCATAGAAGTGGGAAAAGGACCCACATGGACAAAAATATTTATAACAGTTTTTTCTTTGGTGACCAAGAATTGGAAGTTGAGGGAATGCCCATCAATTGAGGAATGGCTGAACAAGCTGAACAAGTAGATGAATGTAATGGAATACTATTGTGCTACAAGAAATGATGAGCAGGCAGACTTCAGAAAAACCTGGAAAGACTTGTATGGACTGATGCTGAGTGAAGTGAACAGAACCAGGAGAACGTTGCACACAGTAACAGCCATGTTGTGTGATGACTAACTTTGATAGACCTAGCCCTTCTCAGCAATGTAAGGATCTAAGGCATCTCCAAAGGTCTCATGATGGAAAATACTATCCATATCCAGAGAAAGAACTATGGAGTTTGAAAACAGATTAAAGTATACTATTTACTCTTTTTTTTCCCTCTGTTTTGTTTCTTCTTTCTTGTGGTTCCTCCTCTTGGTTCTGATTCTTCTTTACAACATGACTAATGTGAAAATATGTTTAATAGGAATGTATATGTAGAGCTTATATCAGATTGCACAGTCTCTTGGTGAAGGAAGTGGGGAGGGTGGGGGAGAAAATTTAAAACTCAAAAGCTTATGGAAGTGAATGCTGAAAACTAAAAGTAAATTAATTAATAAAAATACATTTTATTCAATAGGGAAACAGGAGGGAAAGGGGAAAAGGGAGGGGGAGAATTAGAAGGAAGATACAATAAGGGAGGGGTTATTCCTAAGCAAAACAAATTCAAACTAAGGATGAACAAAAATATTTACAGCTCTTTTTGAGACGGCAAAGATTTAGAAACTAAAGGCGTGTCCATTAATTGAGGAATGGTTGAACAATTTATTGTGTATGAATGTGATAAAATGCTGTTATGTTATAAGAAATGATGAAAGGGATGGTTCCAGAGACACCTGGGAAGATTTGTATGAACACGTGCAGAATAAAGTAAGCAGAGCCAGAAAAATTATGCAGTGACAATAATGGTATAAATACAAACAACTTTGAAAAAGTCTCATGATGGAAAATACTGTGCACATCCAGAGAAAGAACTATGGAGTTTGAATGCAGATTGAAGCGTACTATTTGCTATTTTTTTCCCTTGTTTTGTTTTGTTTCTTCTTTCTTGTGGTTCTTCCTATTAGTTCTAATTCTTCTTTACAACATGACTAATGTGAAAATACGCTTAATAGGAATGTATACGTAGACCTTATATCAGATTGCTTGCCATCTTGGGAAGGGAATGGGGAAGGAGAGGGAAAAATTTAAAACTCAAAAGCTTTTGGAAGTGAATGTTGAAAACTAAAAATAAATTAACAAAAAAAAATATACAGAACAGAAGGAAACAAGAATGAGCAGAACAGTTTTGAAAGTGGTGTATTGAAGTTATTATGTACTTAAAGAGCAAGCTATCCTAGAAAGAGATTGGCAGTTTGGTATAAAATCCTGTTTCTCCGTTCTAGTTTGTATGAGGAAATCATTTTATTTGGTGTTTGTTAAATTCAGAAATTTTTTTTCAAAATTGTATTGTGGCTGGTTTGTTTGTTTTGTTTTAAAAGTCAGTTTGTTGAAGGCAAAAAAAACATCGGACTGGGCTGAGCGAAATGAGGGCCTGAAGGCTGTCCTTCACCAAGGTACAACCACAGAGAGAACTTTGTTCCGTAGTCTTCTGGTTATTGATGTAATACAGTTATCCCTCCCACATCGTGACTTTCCCCATCACAGTTTTGCTATATTGCAGGTTGGCATAAGAAATTAAGTGGGAATTTGGGGGGAGTTTTGAGGAAGCCTCAGACTACACGCAAAGGCCAGCAGACAACATAGGAAAAGTTTAGAAACTCAGAAATGCATAAAATATACGGATAGTATTCTATAATATCTACATATTTTATCTTTTGATACTGTAACAATTCAGATTTCTCTGGCATAAAGGGAGGGCCAAAAAATTTCACACAAATTTTCCATCTCACGAGGGTGCCACATCCCTAACGCTGGCACTGTGGGGTAACTGTGATAGCTAACATTTATATAGCACATACTCTGTTCCACACACTATGCTAAGCATTTTACATTTGATCGCATCTCATTTAATCCTCACAACCATCCTGGGAGGTAGGTACTATTATTATCCCTATTTTACAGATGAGGAAACTGAAGCAAAGTGATCATAGCTTGTCTGAGGCTGGATTTGAACTCAAGTCTTCCTGACTCCAAGCCTAGTACCTTACCCATTGCATCACCTACCTTCCCCTATTAAGTCAGACACAATGTAGGTAAACATATATGCCCACCCAGGATGTTTGCCACTGTTACAATATCCTATACAAAATCGAAATGGAAGAGGGATCTTTTTTTTTTTAATTTTTTAGGCAATTGGGATTAAGTGACTTGCCCAGGGTCACGCGGCTAGTAAGTGTCAAGTATTTGGTCGGAGGCTGGATTTGAACACAGGTCCTCCTGACTTCAGGGCCCGTGCTTTTTCCACTGCGTCCTGGGATCTTCTACAGATAAGGAGATTCTCTGTTTTGATATGAAGATTACATGCCTCCAGCTCAGGACAGTCAAAATTGTCAATCATTGATGTAGAAGGGACATCAGAGCCCCTCCCATCCAACTCCATCTTACGGAGGAAGAAAACGAAGCCTTAGTAGGTTAAGTTCATTCAGGTAGGAAATGTGCAAGGCAGGATTTGAACACAGGTTTTCTGACTCCAAGCCTTACTGCTATTTATGCTTCATCTTGCTGCTATCAATAACCCAGTCTCAATGGAGCCTGTGAGCTGGTCGCACCACAAGATGGAATAGGTGAGAGGTATAAAATGCAACCCTAAAGAGGTAGGATGGTCTTATAATGAATGAGGTCAAGGTATGATAATGTCGTGTTCCATTATTGCATCAGCGTCCACAGAATAATGAGAGATACAGAGAAAGGCCTCCAGCACATTGGGTAGAACATAGAACACCTAGGAAGGATTTGTAGAAGGATGTTGACAAGAATTGCCAGAGATGAGATTGCCTGGACTGTTGCCAGCTGCACCAGTAGAGAGAATGTGAACACCAATGAGGTCACACATTTATTGAAGTGTGTTCTAAAGACCCTCCCAGCTCTGACATCCTGTGTCCTAAGGGCCCTCCCACCTCCCAGCTCTGACATCCTGTGTCCTAAGGGCCCTCCCAGCTCCCAGCTCTGACAGTCATTCTAAGAATCCCCCTAGCTTCAACATAACACTGCCTTGAATTTGCTGTCCTGTCATCATCAGCCTGCCAGCTCCTCAGAAATATGCCATTTCCCTTCTCTATCTTCCCTGTTAACACAGCCTAGGACACTGGGGGTGGGTGGGTGGGGTGTCTCATAAGGCAGCCTCTAGCTGGGCACCTCAAGCAGCCTTCCTCACTCCTCCTAGAATTACAGTCACTCCGAGCGTGAGCTCAGTCAGAGTTCAGAGGTCTCCAACTCAAGCTCCTTCCAGGTCAGGGAGGATCTCTTCCAAAGATTCCCTGACAGGAACTGGTTCAGCCTCTTCTTGGATACCTCCAATGACAGACAGCTCTTAGTAATTCCCTCCTTATTTGGCACCAAAATGTACCTCTCTGTGTCTTCTCCCAGGGTTCTTATTTCATCCCCCTAGAGAAGCCAGACCAGTCTCATCCACCTTTCAATTACTCAAAGGCAGTTCTCATGACCTCCCTGAGCCTCTTCTTCTTCTTCTTCTTCTTCTTCTTCTTCTTCTTCTTCTTCTTCTTTTTAGGCAACTGGGGTTAAGTGACTTGCCCAGGGTCACACAGCTAATAAGTTTCAAGTTTTGATCTGAGGCCGGATTTGAACTCAGTTCCTCCTGACTTTAGGGCCTGTGCTCTCCCCTGTTCCACCTAGCTGCCCCCCTGAGCCTTCTCTTCTCATCCCAATTTCCTTCAACAAGGTCCCACATAACATCCCCTTATCAATGTCCTTCCTAAAAGATGGCCACACCCACACTGTCCAGGGGGCTTCCTGCTCACTGAGATTGCTGGGGATGCTTTAGTAATTACTGGGTATAAGGAGAGATGCAGAAGGGAACAGATGATCTCATTTAAAACAGCATTCCCAGGAACTGAACTGGGCAGTTTGCATGAGGAAGTTCCCAAGGTTGCCTCTTCCTCTGTCACTAATTATATACTCAGGTCACAACTCTTAAAATTAGAGAAAACCTTGTTTTCCTTTTGCTCTAAGATGGGGGGCACAATCTGTGGCTGGACAGGGCAGGGGCAGGTGTCTGGAATGGAACACAGGTAGGTAGAATCGGTGATGGGCAGGGAAGGACAATGCCTGAAGCAGCAGGGCTGGCCCTCCTCAACAGGGAATCACCACCTCTCTGCCTGACCAGCGCTTCTGCAAGCCCAGGGGTAAACTGCTTTCTTGAAAGTTGCGAGTCGGCAGGACCAACGGGCCGACATATTTGAATGGGTAGCTGTCGTTGTATTCGGTGGAAAACTCATGGTCGGGCTGAGGGGGCAGGATGTGGGCATATTTAACCTAAGGAGACACAGAAAGATCCCCTTATGAAGTCAAAGATTCCCCATACCCCTTCATTTCGTCCCCATAATCAGACACAACCTTGGCAGTCCCCAGCCTCATCTATGGCCATTGTGAACTCTGGCCAGGGCAGTGCTGGGAATCGGGGCTGAAGAGGTCCTAAGGGACAAATTTGTGAATGGAGAAGGGAAAAAGAGCGTGATGGAGGTGATTTGAGGTCCCTCACCCAGCCCACCTATAAGACTCGGTAATAGATTTGAGTTAATTGCTAAGAGATCTTCCTAAGTAGGGACTAAGGGATGGGAGTGTTTGGGGACAATGGGAAGAATGATCCTCTGTCCTTCCCTCCCTCTTCCCCAAGGCCCTGGGCCTGTTACCCTCTCCTTTATCTCCTCAGGCACTGGATTCTTCTTGACTGAATGAGGTCTCAACTGCCTCGAGGTTGTCAGGAAATCCATCTCTGTGGGCAAGAACAAAGGGTGAAGAGAGGGCTTGAAATCTTAAAGATAGGGAACTGACCTAGGGGCCAGAGGCAAGAGGAGCGCTAGGCCCATATCTCCAAGCCTCAAGGTTAGAGTTGTCCATAAAAACCCAGCCTCCCAGGAACCCAGCTGGAGGCCCTAGCCTGAGCAGAGACATTGAGCCCCTCAGTCCAACTGGGCCCTTTGTCACAGCTGTCTGGAGAGTCGGGGCAAAGCAGGGCACTCAATGACCCTGGCAGACCAACTCCCATAGGTTCTATGTCCTCACCATTGGTGCCCAACTTGATTTGACTTTCAAAGAGGGAACAACTCTTAACTATCCCTGATGAAGATGGCTCGGGGTTTGAGAAATACTTCTGGTGTGTGGTGACCATGACTTCTGACTTTGGATTTCTCTCCCCCAAGATCACATGACTTTTCAGTGTGTTGACTGGTTCCCTGGTACTTTCTTCAGGCTTCATCTAGGAGGGAGCAGAATGGAAAACAAGCCTCAGGTGCTGAGGAGAACATAAGGACACTGGCCTATTTGGAAGGTAGAGCACATTTGGGCTAGCTGCAAGGAAAAAAGAAGTCAGTCACCTGAAGGAAGGTCTTGAATAGCAGGGTAACCATTTTAGGAGGTAAATAGCTCACTAAAAAAATGGTATCTGAGGGGCAGCTAGTTTGCCCAGTGGATAGAGCACTAGAACCTGACTTCAAATCCACCTTCAGACATTTACTAGCTGTTTGACCCTGGACAAGTCACTTAACCCCAATTGCCTAAACAAAAAAAAGAAAAAAATATCTGAGATCATCTAGAATTTTTAAAGCAGCATGGTACAATAGAAAGAGTGTGGCTTCTGAAATTAGAGGGCCTGGATTCAAATCTCTCCTCTAGGGGCACTAGGTGGTACAGTGGATAGAGCACCCAGCCTTGGAGTCAAATCCGACCTCAGACACGTAACACTTGCTAGCTGTGACTTGAGGCAAGTCACTTAACCCCAATTGCCTCATCAAAAAAAAAAAATCAAATCACTCCTCTACTGGCTCACTAACTGGGTGACCTATGGCCAGGGGTATACTGGTAAATATTAAATGTGGGGGGGGGGCTTCCAATACAATTGTAAATTTAATCTTCATTATTACCATTTTCTCCATTAGTTTAAGTCTAGACTATGAATAAAATTAACAAGCCCTGATTTGTAGCAGTTGCAGATTTCCAAAGTCTAAATGCTCATGTTGAAAACTTAACAATTAGGTTAGATCTGGCTCCGGCACACCCTGCCTTGGGCCCTCAGTTCCTCCATCTGTATAATGAAGAAGTGGTTACAGGGGTGGGGAACCTATAGCCTCGAGGCCATACGTGGCCCTCTAGGTCCCCAAGTGCAGCCCTTTGACTGAATCCGTATTTCACAGAACAAATCCCCTTAATAAAAGGATTTGTCCTAGAAAACTTAGACTCAGTCAAAAGGCCATATCCAAGGACCTAGAGGGCCACACGTGGCCTTGAGGCTAAAGGTTCCCCACCCCTGGAGATGGCCTCTGAGGTCCCTCTCAACTTTAGATTTTTATTTCTTTTTTTAAAATTAATTTATTTATTTTTAGTTTCACTTCCATAAGATTTTGAGTTTTTAATTTTTTTCCCCTTTCCCCTCCCCAAGATGGTGTGTAATCTGATATAGGCTCTACATATACATTCATATTAAACGTATTTTCACATCAGTCATATTGTAAAGAAGAATTAGAACTAATGGGAGGAACCATGAGAAAGAAGAAACAAACAAATGAAAAAAAGAGCAAATAGCATGCTTCAATCTGCATTCAGACTCCCTAGTTCTTGAGGCAGCTAGGTAGCATAGTGGATACAGCACTGGCCCTGGATTCAGGCGGACCTGAGTTCAAATCCAGCCTCAGACACATAATACTTAATAGTTGTGTGACCTTGGGCAAGTCACTTGACCCCATTGCCTAGCAAAAAAAAAAAAAGACTCCCTAATTCTTTCTCTGGATGTGGACAGCATTTTCCATCGTGAATCTTTTGGAGTAGATTTTTTATTTCTATGACTGCATGAAATGGATCTATAGAGACCTATTAAAAATATCTGCCTAAAGTTTGGTTAATTTGAACAAAAAGTCCTCAAATTGAAAAAAAGGGAGAGGCTTGTTCCCAAGTTTTCAGTCAACAAACATTTATTAAGTACCTACTATGTACCAGGCACTGTACTAAGAGGGAGAAACCAATTAAAAAAAAAAAAAGACAGACAATTTCTTCCTTAAGTAGCTTTAAATCTAATGGGTGAAGACAGCATGTAAAAGGAAGCTGAAATGGGGAAGGGGTAGGGGGAAAGAAGGTATCTAACCTATGAGCATTATGAAGTCCAAAGAAGCAGAATCAGGTGGAAAACGAAGAGATTTGAGAAGACGCACGCCACCAATTTCTTTTCAGAGGCAAGGGAAGGGAGAAGGGGAGGCTTATTCCTGCCTGCAGAAGATTGCTTATGATGCCAGATTTGCTGAATCTGTTCTTCCTTGTGACTCTTTTTCATTTTCTTTTAACCCTTTGTTATAAAGGATGGCTTTCTGGTTGGGTGCAGGGGAAGGAGAGGGGTACAAGGGGAAATCTAGGTAACAGAAATGGAAGATAGCTAGAAGAATCTATTTAAAAAAAAAGAAAAGAGGCCAAGATTAAAAACTACTTGTGTGTTCTGTCAATCCAAATATCTAAAAGTGTAGCAGGAGAAAGAAAGAAAGAAAGAAAGAAAGAAAGAAAGAAAGAAAGAAAGAAAGAAAGAAAGAAAGAAAGAAAGAAAGAAAGAAAGAGAGAAAGAAAGAGAGAAAGAAAGAGAGAGAGAAAGAGAGAAAGAGAGAAAGAGAGAAAGAAAGAAAGAAGGAAAGAAGGAAAGAAAGAAAGAAAGAAGGAAAGAAAGAAAGAAAGAAAGAAAGAAAGAAAGAAAGAAAGAAAGAAGGAAAGAAAGAAGGAAAGAAAGAAAGAAAGAAAGAAAGAAGGAAAGAAAGAAAGAAGGAAAGAGAGAAAGAAGGAAAGAGAGAAAGAGAGAAAGAAAGAAAGAAAGAAAGAAAGAAAGAAAGAAAGAAAGAAAGAAAGGAAGGAAGGAAGGAAGGAAGGAAGGAAGGAAGGAAGGAAAGAGGGAAGGAAAAGATAGCAATATCAAGGATCAGAATTTCACAGAACCATGGTCAATAAATATCTAAGAAGGTGCCCAGTAGTAAAATTACCCACAGCCTAAAAATAGTGTGATACAATGGAAAGAATGCTGTCCTCAAGAAATTCACATAACTTCCCATGGGCTTCAGCCATCAAGGAAGGAGGTTCAACTAGAAGACCTCTGAAGCCCCTAAGTTAAAATCCTGCCTTAGGATTTACTTACTAGCTTTGTGACCCTGAATAATTCACTTCACCTCTGTTTGCCTCAGTTTCCTCATCTGTAAAATGGGTATTATAATAGCACCCACCTCTCAGGGTTGTTGTGAGGATCAAAGGAGGTAACATTTGTAAAGCACTAGATAAATGTGCACTATTATTGCGATGCTGTGGGCTCCCTACCTCCTCCCATCCCCACAGTGATGTACCAGTAAGAGCTCTGAGAACCAGAGCCCAGCTGGATGCCCCTAAGGGTGGTCCCTTATTGTTCCTTCTCAGGCACAGAAACTGGGTAAGGAAGGATTTTCCTCCTTCCCCAAGGCCCTGGCCAGGACCTTTCCCCAGATGCCAAGGTCAGGAGTTACATTCAGGGTGGCTAGAGAGATGAGGAGGGAGGCAAGCAGGTTTGCACTCTCTCCCGGTTCTCTTGTACCTCTCTGACCACTCCTCCTCTGTCTCCTTTGCTGGATTCTCCTCCAGATCATCCCTCTAACCAGAGGTGTCCCTCAGGGTTCTGACCTAGACCCTCTTCTCTTCTTCCTCTACACTACTTCACTTGGTGATCACATCATCTCCCATGGATTTAATGACTATCTCTAACCTGTTGATTTTCAAATTGACCTCTCCTGCCCCAACCTCTCTGTTGACCTCCAATCTTGTATCTCTGACTGCCTTTCAGATACCTCAAACCAGATGTCCAGTAGACATCTTATACGCTGATCCATACAAACCAGAATTCATTATCTTTCTCTCTAAATCATCACCCCTTCCTGCCTTCACTAATACTGTCAAGGGTAGCACCATCCTCTCATCCTCAGGCTCATAACCTAGGAGTCATCCTGGACTCCTTACTAGCTCTCACCACCCACGTCCAAGCTGTTGCCAAGGCCTGTCAATTTCACCTTTGCAACATCTCTCAAACATGTTTTGTCTTCTGACACTGCCCGAACCCTGGTCCAGGTCGTCATCACCTCATGCCCAGACTATTACAAATATCCTGTTGGTGGGTCTGCCTGCCTCAAATGTCTCCCCCACTCCAACCCAACCTCCCTTCAGCCACTAAAATAGGGTTCCTAAAGCTCAGTTCTGATCACGTTACCCCCTACTCAACAAACTCCCTATCACCTCCAAGATCAAATACAAAATTCTCTGTCCTTCATAACCTTGCCCAGGCCTGTCTTGCCATCTTCTGACACCTTACTCCCTGACATGTACTTTTTCATCCAGTCATTTTCTGTGGTTCTCTGCCATGCCTGAAATAGTCTGGCCCCTCTGCTCTGACTACAGGCCTCCCTGGTCTCCTTTAAGTCCCAACTAGAATCATACCTTCTATAGGAAGCCTTCCGCAGCCCCTCTTAATTCTAGTGCTTTCCCCCAATTATTTCCTATTTATCCTATATATTTGTTTGCAAGTGGTCTCCCATTAGACTGTAGGCTCCTAGTGGGTAAGGACTGTCTTTTGCTTCTTTTTGTATCCCCAGCAGATAGCACAGTGCCTGACATGTAGTAGGTACTTAATAAGTGTTTACTGATTGGTTGCTTGTGCAATAGACAGAACCCTAGACTAGGAATGGGTAGATCACTGTTGTTCTTCCATCTTTTTTTTTTCTGGGCTAGGCAACGGGATCAAGTGACTTGCCTAAGGTCACACAGCTAGTAAGTGTCAAGTGTCTGAGGCCACATTTGAACTCAGGTCCTCCTGACTCCAGGGCTGGTGCCCTACCCACTGCACCATGTTCTTCCATCTTTCCCACTCACTTATTGCGTGACTTTGGGCAAGTCTTTTCTCCTGTCTGGGAGTTTCCGATAAGGATTTTACAGATCTGGGGGTTACAGATAAGTTTCTATAATGAGAAAGGAAAGTGATCCCTGCCCTGCAGCTTTCTCTTCCCAACTCCATGGAACCAGTTGTGCACTGAGAAGATCATTAGGGAAAGTAGAGATTGTCACCCCAAAAGCTTCCACCTTCAGGAGAATAGGATCCCTGTTGGGGAAGCAGGGACTGACCCAGGTAAAGGAGTGGTGATTTGTGGTGAAGTTGCTTCTTTCCCGGCATCTTTCAGGGTCTTGGTCTCCCTTCAGTAATAATGAATCGGCTACAGTTTGATGCTTGAAGACTGGCTCTGTTTAGGGGAGACATATGTGGGTCCACCTGTCAGATCCTGATTTGTCATCTCCCCATCAGCCTCCTCTGTCCAACAGGGACTGTATTCCCCACCCTCTCCCATCCTTGTCTGTCACTTTCCCTGCCTCAGTTCTATCTCTGTCCTTGTCCCTAATCCTGACTCTCTGCCCTGCTCTGCCCTGGTCTGAACCCAGACCCTGCCCCTGCCCCTGCCTACCAGATGTATTCACAGAAGCCATATCCTTGTAACCTGGGAGGTAAGCATGGAAATGGCCATCCCCAGGCTGGATGTGCACCTGGAAAATGTTGGCTACAGCCTCTTTCTTGTTATACCTGTCATGGAGAGATGGAAGGAGAGAGAAGGGCAAAGACCTTTGGACCAGGCAGAAGAAGCACCTAAGTCCCCCTGGAGTTCTAGGTCCCACCAGGTGCCTACTGGCCCAATTCACTCCCCAAGTTAGATCCACACCCTCAACTCTCTTCAGCCATCCTATGGTGTAGTGGGTAGAACTGAAATGGGGGGGGGCAAATCACACCTCAGATACTGGCTAGTCACAGACTCCAGGAAAGTTCTCATCTGTAAACTAAAGACTCATTCCCTAAGTTCCCAGGTGGTTCTAAACACAAGATCCTATGATCCTTCCTATCCTATGCATCACCTCCAATCCTTCCCTGAATTATCCCATCACTACTCATCTCTTTGCAACCCTAGCCTGGATCACTCCTACCAATCACCTCCTTCATCTACTCCTATTCACATGCTGCTAAATGGAGCTGGAGGAAGTCACATAACTATGGGGACTAGATGACACATGACCAATTCATGTTCTCCAACCTCAGCTGGGTCCTCACTGCAGGAAGGCATTCTTCTTATTCCTCCTTAATTGATTCCCTGTCTCACTCCCCACAGAAGCTATTCCAAACCTTCTCTTCACTCCTCAAACCTCCCACGTTACCCCTTCCACTGTCTCTTACCTGAAGACCTTGCTGAGGCCATTCATCAGGATCTCCCTCTTCTCTCTACCTCAAAACCCTTTGACATTATCTCCTACTCTCTCTCCCTTTCCACCAGTTTCTGACAAAGAAGTTGCCCTTTTCCTAGCCAAAGATGTCTCTTCGTTGCACTTGCTCCCATCCCCTTCCAACGTCTCCAGCAAATTGTAACTTCAGTCACATCCCCCCTCTTCTCTCTTCCCTCCAATTAAAAAAAAAAACCCTTCACTGGATCCTACCTTCCTCTCATGTTATTATCCTATATCTGTCTTCCATTTCTTAGACAAAATCCTTTAAAAAGTTGTCTACATTTACGGACTCCATTCCTCTCCTCTTGCTCCTTTATTAGTCTTTTTTATCAATATAATTTTAATTTTTCCTTTTTTATTTTAAAATATATTTAGACACTTTTGGGGCATTTATTATCTCTTCCTCCCACTGCACCCCACCCCAACTGAACAATAAAAAGACTTAACCCCAATTACCTCACCAAAAAAATTAAATTAAATTAAATTAAAAACCCATAACAAATATGCATAGTCCAGCAAAACAAATTCCCACATTGGCCATGGGCAAAAATGTACGTCTCATTCTGCATGTTAAATCATCATCTCTCTGGCAGAAGGCAGGTGCCATTTTGCTCATTCCAATCCCTTCCCTTTGCAATCTGGCTTTTAACTCCATCACTCAACTGAAACTGCTCTCTCCAGAGTTACCAGTGATCTCTTGATTGTCAGCTTTGATGGTCTTTCCTCATTCTCATGCTTCCCTGCCTCTCCACCTCCTTTGGTCCTGTTTGACTGCTTCTTCCCGCTGGACATTCTTTCCTCTTCTCTACCAGTTTTTGTGATGCTGATCTCTCCTGATTTTCCTCTTGTATGACTTCTCACTCTTCTTTCTTAGCTTATCTTCCATATCATGTCCCCTACCCATGAATGTCCTGCATGGCTCTTCCTTAAGCCTTCTTCTCTGCTTTCTCTGCACTCTTTCTCTAGTCATCCTCACCAGTTCTCATGTGTTTAACCATCATCTTTATGCAAATGGCTCCCAGATCTAGGCATCTGAGCTTTCATCTTCCATCACCAAATATCTATGGGGCATCCCAAACTCAATATATTCAGAACTGAACTCATTATTTTCCCCTACAAACACTCCCCTTTTCCAAGCTTCTCCATTTCTCCTGAAGGTACCATCATCCTTCCAGTCTCCCAAGTTAGTATTTTTGACATTATCACATATTCCTTCCTCTTCCTCACCCAGCATATTCAAGCAATTGCCAAACCTTGCTATTTTTATTCATACATCATCTCATCTCTCTGACTCCTTGTCCCTACTCACACAGCTAGCTAGTACCCTGGTTCAGACCCTTATCACCTCTCACCTAGATTTTTGCAATATCCTCCTACCTGGTCTCTCACCTTGCTGGTGCATCTATACACTAAAGACAAAATTATTTTCCCAAAGAGAGATCCGATCATGTTTCTCCCTTAATCAATTCTGGTGACTTCCTTTTGCACCCTCTGTTCAAATAAACACTCCTCTATTTGGCTTTTAAAGCCTTCCACAACCCCATCCCAATCTATCTTCCCAGTCTCATTGAACATTACTCCCTCTCTCACCATGTTCCTTCACACAAACCACTAAATCCACCTCTCTGCCTTTCATGGCTAGCCTTCCTGTCTGGAATGTACTCCCTCCTCACCTCTGGCTCTCAGAGTTCCTCTCTTCTTTTAAGATGCTGCTGAGGCACCATCTTCTGCACAAAACTTTTCCTGATCCCAAATGCTAGTGCCCTCCCTTCCAGGCTACCCTATATTTACTTTACTATGATACTCTTTTTATTTTTCCTATGTCCTTATATATTTACTTTGTGTCTTCCCCCATTAACTGTAAGCTTCTAATGAGGAGGGATTGTTTCATTCATTAGGTTTACATCTCAGCTCCTAGTACAAAGCTGGCCACATAATGGGCACATTATACATTTGTTGTTTTAAGTGATAAACATTCCCCCAGAGGGCCTGGGAGGAATAATTCTGTGTAGTGGGAGGGATGAAGAGCAAGAGGAGGAAATTATAAGCTGGAGAAAAAATAAAGGAAAAAGGAGAGAGGAGATAGGAAAAGAATGATAAGGAGGAAAAAAAGGAAGGTGGAGGAGGACGAAAGGAAAGGGTAGAGGAAGAGAAGAAAAGGAGATGCATGGAAGGAGGAAAGAAAAGGACAGAAAAAGAAAGAGAAGGATAGCAAATGAGCTGAGAGAAGGGGAGGAGAAGGGAGGAAAGAGAAAGAGAGGAGAAGGGAAGGAGGAAAGAGGAAGGAGAGGGGAAAGGGGAATGGGAGGGAAGGGGAAGAAGAGGAAAGGAAGAGAAGAAGAAAAGACAAAGTAGTGAAGAAGAGGAAAAAGTAGGAGAGAAGGGAAGAAAAAAAGGAGAAAAAGGAAGAAAATGAAGAGGAAAGATTCAGAGAGGGAAAAGAGAAAGAAAGAATGATGCCGAGAAGAAAGGTGGAAAGACTAGCAAAAGACTAGCCAACAAGAGTGAATTTGAGGCCTCTGCCAAACATTTGTATGGTTGAGGAGGAGAGGGTCATATCGCTGCAGCTCTAGGGTCCCTTCTAGTTCTGACAGCATAAATTTTGTAATGGTGGAATTTCAGGCACTGGCTTTTGGCAGGAAGGACCATCAGCCTCCCCAGAGGAAATGCCTGGGAGAGCTCCCCAAGGGGGTGTGGTAGTAATACTAGTGTGGGATGCTGGGGCCCCTTCCCAGCTTGAACCAAGTCATGGGCTTTCTCATGATGGCTCGGGCAGATTTCGTCCCTCCATTTGGGACTACTTCCCAACAGGATCTTAGCCATACCTGGGCTGGGGCAGACACTGAGGAGTATAGGCATTCTTCTGCTCTGAATGGATTCCTTCTAGACCAATTCTGGAGTCTCCTAACTGCAGGTGGGAATTCACCTGCAGACACACAGGCATGAAGTCAGGGTGAGTGATGAAGCCAGAGAGGGCTTACCACCTACCCCTCATCACTGCACTCAGTGAGGCAAAGGTTTACCTTCTCACAGAGGTGGATAGGAGAAATATATTTTCCTTGGAATTCCTCTCGATAGGAGGTATCTGGATAAGGCTCCATTCCCCATTTCAGGGGAGAAGGTCCTCCTAGCAACAGTACAGGTGAAAGGGTATGAGGAGGAACAGAGATCAGAGCAGGAAGAGATTTTTGAGGAGAGAAAGGGAGGCAGGGTCAGAGAATCAGGAAAAAAGTGGAGGCCAGGTGAGACATGGAGAGACAGAATCAGAGAGAGACATCAGAGCAAGAATAGTTGGAGGGCAGAGTAGAAAGAACAGAGAAACAGAGACAGAGAAAAAGAATAAAACAGAAATCAAGAGACATGAAGACAGAGCAGAAGAACAGAAAGAAAAAAAAACAGAGACAGAGACAGAAGGAAGAAGACAGAGACACAGAAGGGAGAAGGGTAGTTAGAGAAAAATGAAACAAAGAAAGAGGGGTACAAAGAAGGGAGGAGAAAAAAAGAGCCAGAAACAGAAACAGGGGAGGACCATGACCAAGAGAAAAGAGGAAGACGGAGAGGAGATGGATGGGTAGTGAGAAAGACACACAGAGACATTGTCTACCTTCCAAGATCACAGTAAAACTGGGAGCAAAGGAGGATGGGGATTATTAGCTTCATTTTCACAGAAGGGATATTGCAGCAGTGAGAAGGATGAGGATGCACCCAAATTCACTGAGTAAGACAGTAACTAGGCTGGGGCAAAAACCCAGGTCGCCTGACTCCCAGACCCGGGGTCTTTCATTGCAGGAGATGTGCGTAAGGTGTGTGGTCAGGGCAGGTGGGGGTAGAACAAAAGTGAATCTTCCCATGATGAAAGCCCAGCTTAGGTTCTGGTGAAAGCTGTGGTCCTCCCTGAACTTTCCCCACTGCTGACTCAGACCTGAGAAAGGGGTTTAGGAAGTCAGGTGTGGTTGGATCTCCAGGGAGAGGGAAGTACTTCAGCTTTACCATCCATTGCCCTCTCCTGATCTCCTTGGGAGCCGGGGACAGGAGGCAAAGTGGGGCCAGGGGAGCAGGAAGGAGAGAACCTGAGACTATGGGCCCTTTAAGGCTAGGGTTGGGGCAAAGTGGGAACCAGAGCCCATGTAAAGACAGGCCATGGATAGCGGCCACACTCCAGGGCTTAGAGCTGAGGCAGAATTAGGGTGGCTGTCCCCCTCACCCAGGTGCAGGGAAGGAGCTCGGGGTTGGGGGAGCTGGTGCTGGGGCATGAAGACCTGGCGATTGTGAGTCAGAGGGATCCCCAACTTGTCTCTGTCTCCACTGGGGAAGCTGTCTTTATCAAACTGCCTTCGGGCTTCCTTGGTGAAAGCATTGAAAGCCTCAGGTCCCGGGGAGGTGTACTTCTCTTGGAAAGTGGTCTTGAAGACATCGATTCGGGGGTCTCCGTGCATCTTCAGGCTGCTGGTTTGCATCAGCAGGTCAATGCTTGATTGGGAGCTGTTCATGGCACGGACAGGAAAGGCTGTGTGAGTCTCGCTGTTTATCTCTCGGATCTTCTCCAGGTCCTGATGGAAGAGCCCCTTGCTGGGGCCTGGAAGGAAAGGGGCTGCTGCGTGGACGCCCCAGTGGGCAGGGAACCAGCAACCAAAAGCAGTCTTCATACATCCTTTTGGGAGGCGGGGGTCAGGCCCAATTTTGAAGTGAGAGGACTTGAGGAACTCAACTCTGGGGAGGGGAGCAGGAAGGAGTTTTTGGGGTCTGTCAGCCATCCTGGTCTCACAGAATGAGCCAAGCGGCAGTTTGGGCCCAAGTCAAATTTCAGGGGCTATATACTGCTGTCCTGCCAATGGAAGGAGAGAGCAAATGGTTAGCAACGTTGGATTTCATTTGTTAATTTAATCACATTCATTTAACACACATTTATTTAAAAGTTACCTCTTTAGTACAGAAGAGGAGGAGGTGTAACAACATTTATATAGCTCTTACTCTGTGCCAGGCACTGTGCTAAGTGCTTCCCAATGATTATCTCACCCTTTCCAGCTTTCTTTTAAGTGTTGTTTTCCTCATTGGAAGGTAAAGTTCTTAAAGGTCAGAGATTATCTTTCTTTCTACTCAAATTTGTGTGCTCAGGTCTTAGGCCAGTGCCTGGCACATAGTTAAAAATATAATAAATGTTTGTTGACAGACTAACTAAAGGTTACTGGGGCAAAGAGTTCTGGGAGAGATACAAAGTCTAGATAAGACCTGGTCCCCGCCCTCAAAAAGCTTACAGTCTAGTAGAGGAAATGATTCCAACTGGTAACTATAATGTACAGTATTATATACATGCAATACAGAAGCAAAAAAAAAAATGCTGGGGTTTGAAGGGGAAGGTCCTGAATGACCCAGACTGCAGCCCAGCCCAGCTTCCTTGCTGTCCTACCTTCTGGAAAAAAAAAAAGTTTGGCCCAAGCGGTATTAGTAAAGGGGCCATAGCCAGTAGGACCAGTCTGAAGGGACTTAGGACCCTAAAATCCTTATCCCCTACCCAGACTCTAGAGGAACTAGAAAAATTCTTCTTTGGAGTTTTGCAATTTGGGCTTAAAAGACTTTAATTTGTTTGGATAATTGTTTGTTGAATTTATTTGAACTGAGGTAAAATGCAACCCTTCCCAGCAGGTCAGTGGTGCAGCTAGGTGGCACAGTGGATAGAGCTCTGGGGCCTGGAGACAAGAAAACTCAATCTGGTCTCAGATACTTCCTAGCTGTGTGACCCTGGGTGAGTCACTCAAACCTGCCTGCCTCAGTTTCTTCATGAACTGGAGAAGGAAATGGCAAACCACTCCAGTATCTTTGCCAAAAAAAACCCCAAATGGACAACAACAGCCCAGGAATCAGTAATCAGACACCGAGTGAGTAAGTTTATCAAACCCTAAGACCTTGACTTCAAGCTCACAGTAATAGAATCGTGATACAAGTCTGGATGGAATCTCAAAGGTCAACCAGTGCTACCTTGACTAGGAATCCCCTCTACAATATTTCCAACAAGTGGACATCCAGCCTTCATCGCTCCCTTTAAGACAAGGTTCAGGCACCAATTTCTACAGGAATCCTCTCTTAAATCCCCCCCACCCCTACCCTATCCCAACTGTTAGCATCCTTCTTCCCACACTACTTTGTAATGAACTACTTTGTACATATTTGTACTCCTTAGCTTTATGTTTCTGCTGTATATATTTATATATGTTGTCTCCCCATTAGTAAGTAAGATCTTTGGAAGTAAGGATTGTTTTATTCTTTTTTTTTTATTTTTCAAAATTTTTAAAATTTTTTAAAATTATTTTATTCTTTGTACCGCCCTCCCCCACAGCCTGATATATAATACACCTTCAATAAATACTTGATGATTGGCTGATTGAAGATTTCCTGTGACTTGGCACTTAACTTCTTTCAGAGGAAACCCATTCCATGTTGGGACAGCTATGTAGGGAAACTGTCCATACACAGAGCCTAAACTTGTCCTGAGTCTAATGATACTCATCAGTGTGCCACTAGATAGAAACTCCCTCCCACTGAATCAACTGAATTGGTCTTAACCATTTCGGGTATGGTTTACTAGAGGCATCATGGCATGTAGTAGGAAGACCTGGGTTCAAATCATATCTCTGCCCATATACCCACTGAATGACCAGCACAAGTCATTGAGCCTCTCAAGGCCTTAGGAAGTCTCTCTGAGACTATAAATTTCAGACCCTCATTAGTAGAGCAAAATTCCTTCTCTGGGAACTCCAGGAAGGAACAAATTCACAAGTAGAATCCATATCTGTATTATTTTTTAAATCATTAATTACAAAATCAATTTGAGAACAAATTACATGCCTCAGGTACCACATTCTAATTATAGCTTTACTGGTCCCTCTTCTTTGAGGCATTCCATATTGTCACTGTCCTTCCCAAGATTTGACTCTAGAATGATTCTATCTCCTTGGTGGCCTAGTGGACCATTTAAAGGTCTCTGTCTCCTCCAGAGGGAAGGCAAATATAAAAGAAGCCTTCTGTATCCTAACCCAGAGTGGCCTCTGGCTCTTTCAAATGCAGTTTTACCAAGGCTGAAGAAAGGGAGAGCACCAAACAGCAGGGAGGTGATACAGCCAGGTGTGATACTCACATTCATTGACCACCTGGTGTGGATATTTGGGGGGGGGGGCAGTGACCAAAATGGCAGAGGGCTCTGAGTCCACACCATCCATGAAGGAACTAGGGATATCTAGGTTGGAGAAGAGAAGACATGATAGCGGTCTCCCAAGTATTTCAAGGAAGAGCAAGAACTAGATGGAATTTAGGCTTGAGGTAAAAGAAAAGTCCTAACAATTGGAGGTATCTAGTGGATTAGGCTGTCCCTGGAGGTTGTGGATTCCTCTTCCCACCAGGCCTTCCCTCAAAGAATGGCCAAGGACTCTTATCTGGCTCAAGGCTGAGGAAATTCTTGTTTGGCTGTGGGGAGGATTAGCTTGCCTTCTAGCTCTGAAATTCTGTGACCTTATTGGGGTCAGGAATTTTGTGTCTTAGAATTTCGGGCAGCAGGAGTTCATTCCTGATTTAAATCTCCTAGACCAGTGATGTCAAACTGAAATAGAAACAGATCCCTGCAGGCCATATATTGACTTAGAAAACCACAAGCTAACATTATCTATGTAGTATTATATTTTTATTGATTTTTGTTGTTGTTAAACATTTCCCAATTAATTTTAACTCTAGCAGCCCACAGGGTCTATTTAACAGGCCTGTTCTAGACTATTCTAGTCCCATTTTATAAAAACAGAAAACCTAAGGAATGATGGTGCTCAGGGTTTTAAGCTGAGACCCTGTCCTGAGCCCCCTCCCTGGAAACCTCCTCCTTTTCCAAGGCCAAGCACTCACCTCTCCTTCCACCACAGTTTCAGGGCCTGGAGGATAGCAGCTCCAGGATCCCACTGACACTTTTGTGACCCACGAACCCCCTCCTGCCAGCTACCTGCTCATGCCACCTCCCTCCTTCTCTGTGAGACAGAGCCCTACCATATCACGATGGATCCTTGGCAACCTTTAGCTACAGCATGAAAGAACTCAGCGCCAGGAAGGGGTTCAAGTCTCTGTCCCAGTCTCCCTTCAGGCTCAGAATGCCCCTTTTCAATTCTGGGTTTCCATTTTCCTCTGGAAAGTGTGGGAAATAACACCCCCCCCAACCCCCATCTCCAGCTTTTGTGAAATGTGACTGGTAAAACTGTTAAGCACCTTCGGAATCAGAGCTCTTAATATTCTGAGTACACAGTCTGCAGAGAGCCCTGAATTGAGGGTCAAAGGTAATGCCATCACCAGGTAATGGTTTGTTTTGTTTTGTTTTGTTTTTCACCTGAGGCAAGACTATAACATTCTCTGGCTCACTTAGCTACCATCCTAGTTCTGTCTCTCTTATGGATTCTAACAAAATGAGTCTCCCTGTCTCATCTTTCCCTACTCTGATCCAACCTCCACGCAGCTCCCAGAATGATTTTTCCTGAAGCATAGATCTGCCCAAGATGTCACATTTCTAACTCAGTAAACCCTAGTGGCTCATTATTACCCCCAGGATCAAATAGGAAGTTTTTGTTTGGTATTTAAATCTCTTCCCTGGCCAAAGAATATTAAAACAAAAAATCCCTTCACAAGCAGGCCTTCTTCTACCCCAGTCTTCTTTCAATTTGTTCCTCTCCAGAACTCTACAATCTAGCCCCTGAGGTTAAGTGACTTGCCAGGGGTCACACAGGTAGTGTCTGAGGCTGGATTTGAACTCAGGTCTTCCTGACTCTGTTCACTGTGGTGCCACCTAGCTGCTCTGAAGAAGAGACCACAGCTGTTGAAAATGAATTTCCCTTGCCCAAGATATGGTGGTAGTTGGGACATTGATAGAATTCCTGCAGAACCACACAGGAATCACAAATATATGCATGTACAAAGCCTGAGATGAGAGGGATGCCTCCAGACTTTAAGTGTCACCTGCTGAATAAGCTCCCAAGACTCAGGTTCAAAGAATTCCCCAAGTTCAAATGTTCAGGCAGAGAGGGATGTTTGGATGTAGCAAGCATGGTCCTTGGAGAAAAAGAAGAGGATCATTCACACAGCTCTTCTATAGCATCTGAAAGAATGCTGGGTTTGGAGACAGAAGCCCTACATTCAAAGTCTGGCTGTGTGACCTTGGGCAAGTCACCTTAACATCTCTGGGCCTCAGTTTCCCTCGGTTGTAAAAGTAAGGACTTGGACCAGCTGACCATGAAAGTCTCTTCCCTCTCTGAGTCTATGCTCTAGTGAATTATTCAGCAGTACAAGTGAATCCAAGGTGAAAGAGAGTGGTTATTAAGAGCACCCCAAGGGTGTTTTCCTCTGAAGGGGGGTGGGGAGCGCATAACGAACTCTTTGAGTGCTTTATCAAGTTCCTATGTTTGTCCGTGGACCACGGTGCCTCGTTGGGGTCCTATTCATTTCCTGAAGGGTGAACTAACTCTTCTGTCAAATGAGCTGGAGAAGGAAATGGCAAACCGCTCCAGTATCTCTGCCAAGAAAACCCCAAATGGGGTCACGGAGAGGCGGACACGACTCAAACAACCGAACAACAAAAACGGGTGAATTAAAAGCTGTCCTGAGCCCATAATCCCCATGCTATCAACTGAAGTGCCCATGAGGGAGCTGGGGGCTTTGTTACCCGTATTTGGGGAAACCTAGAACTACATCTAAGCTTTATTTTAAACATTTTCCCCCCGAAGTGAAAGTCTAGAACTTACAAACCAGGACACCTAAGCTTGATTTTGGAGATTTGGAGATTTGCCCTAGTGCAGCAGCAGCGAGCCAAAGCTGGGCCTTGACTCCTTGAGTCCAGACAGGGCCCCAGGCGAGCTTTACATTAGCAAGGCTAGTGCGGAAGAGGTCTTTCTTCCAGCGTGATAGTCCCCCTCTAGGGTTTCACAGATTGCCTCCTTCTGGATACCCACTGACCCTTTGACACCCCACTGAGGATGACTGATTGAACCACAGCTGAGTCAGCCAGAGAGCCCCTGCTGGGAAGCAAGCCATCCGAGAAACCTGGGGCCCCTGGAAAGGGGAAGCCTTGAGGCTCCAGAGATGCTAGCAGCAGCAGTGGCCCCAGCATCCGACGGACTTTGCTAGAGAGAGGGAGAACCAGAGGAGGCCCCACGGCATAGTGGGGAATCAGAGCACCAGGGACTGAATCCTGTCTCTGTCCCAGCCTACCTCTAGGAACTTGGAAAAATCACCAAACCTCTTGGGGTGCCTTGCTTTCTTCATCTGCAAAATATTCAGCTCAGACTAAATGCCCACTAACATCCAGCTCTAAATCTATGGTCCAAGACTGGAACAGAGCAAATATCCCTATTTAAAAAAAATAAAGGGAAGAGAACAGAATTTACAAATCAGCTATCTCTATGATAATCTGTTTGGAATTTTACCAGAATTCCAGTCAAGCTCCTTTGCCTATTGTTTGCAAACTCTGCTCTCTTCCTTTTTTTTTTTTTTAAATTGGGGCAAGCCTGGGATGGAGGAGGCCTAGATTTGACGGTAGTTTGTCTGAAATAGGCCTCTGAGTAGATTGCAAACTCCAGATAAGTCCATGGTCAGTCAGCCAGCCAGAAAAGCTAATTCCATCTTGGGAGGCATTAAGCCGAGCATAGCTTCAAGAAATAAGGAGGTGATAAACCCTTCATAATCTGGATCCTCCTCCCCGACCTTTCCGGTCGTCTTTCTTACACTCCTCCCCCACTGACCCTTCGACCCAGTGGCACTGGCCTCATGCAAGATGCTCCATCCAGGAATTTTTCCTGGCTGTTCCCCAGGCCCTAATGTTTTCCCTCCTCATCTCTGCTTCCTGGCTTCTTTAAGACCCTGCTAAAATCCCACCTTCTACCGGAAGCCTTTCCTTATTCCTCTTAATCCTATTGCCTTCCCTCTGTTAATTATTTCTAGTGGATTCTCTCTATATCTTGCCTGGACATGTTTATTTGTTGGTTGTCCCCTCATGGGAGGGGATCTTCTTGAGGGTGAAGACTATCTTTTTATCCCTACCTCTAAGGTAGTGCCCGGCACATAGTAGGTGCTTAATAAATGTTTATCACTGACGCAATGAGAGGCCTTCTGCATTCTGTCCTGCTTAGAGCACATCTGAATTTGGTTCTAGGAAATATTCACGTACTGATAAGCCGGAGAATGTCAGAGAGGAGTAGCCAGAATCTCCAAGGGTTGCCTGAGCCCAGGAATCCGTTGAAAAAACTGAGACTGTGTAGCCTGGAAAAGGGAAAGACTCAGGGGAGACCCGATAACACTCTTGAAATGTCTGGAGGGCTGTCATATGGAAGGGCGATTAGATTTGTTTTGCTTGGTCCCAGAGGACACAGGAGCAAACTGACAGAAGTTGCAAAGAGACAAAATTAGAATCGGCGTCAGGAAAAACTGCAGAGCGCTCAGAGCTCTGCTGAAGTGGAGTAGGTTGTCTCTGAAATCTCCCCCTGGCAGCTCACACCTTGCCAAACCCCAGCCCTGGGTCACCCCCATCATCTGCCTCCCCCATCACATCAACTCCTGAAGTGCTGCTGAACAGAAATGGATGAAGTCCTACAAATGTCAGTTACAAATCCAAGTTCTCTATTCTCAACTAGGCCCTAGCTTCCTCTCTCCCACTCACCACAAGCCCTTTTCCAAACTTTCTTTTCTTTCCTCAAATGTTCCATGGCTTCTGGGATGTGCTGGTAAATATTTAACAACTGGATCTCTGAGGGGGAAAAATACTGCACTTTCAACGTGAATTTGCATTATTAACATTTAATCCACTACTTTCTTAAGTCTAGACAATTCACAAACCAAACATGGATTTGTAATTCTCACACTGAAAATGTAACCATCTCTTTGGAGCCGGTAGGAGCTGTCTTCAGAATACCCCTGAGGTCCTCTATGAGCTCAGCAATGCTTTTCCCCTCTTTTCTTATTTCAGAACTATTTCCTCCTTTACTCCAGTCTCTGATGAAGAGATTACCCTTCTCCTCACTAAGGCTGGGCCTTGATCCCTCTTTTCCTCTCATCTTCTCTAAGCAGATTGTCCCACTATTACTACCCACTTCTAATTTTCAGTCTCTCTCTCTACTGGTTCTTTCTCTGCAACTCACAAACATCTCTCCCATTCTTAAAAACAAACAAACAAACAAAATCATCTCACTAGATTCTATCATCCTTGCTAGTTAATGTCTTATATCTCTCCTCCCTTTCCCAGATAAACACCCTGAAAAAGTTATCTGCACTCAATCTACACTTGGGGCATTCACTTCCTTGTTGCTCACTCTGCCACCGTCATTCAGCTGAAACACTCTTCAGAGTAGCCCAGACTAATGTCCTTTTCTCATTCCTCATCCTTCTTGACCTCTCTGCTGCATTTGGCTCTGCTGACCTCATTGTCTTCTTCCTCTGGGGTTTTTGTAGCCCTTCTCCTGGTTCTCCTCCTCTGTGACTGCCCATTGCTGACCAGTCATCTTTGCTGGGCCGTCATCCAGGTCGTGCTCCTTAACTCAGGGTGTACCCCAAGGCTCTGTTTTAGGAACTCTTCTCTCTCTCTCTCTCCTACTAGCTCACTTGGTGACCTCATTATCTCCTCTGGGTTCAGTTGTCATCTCTATGTAGATAATAATAATACTAGCCAGCATTTATATAGCACTTTAAGGTTTACAAAGCACTCTATCTGTGTTTTCTCATTTGAGCTTCACAACAATCCTGGGAAATGGGTGCTATCATTACCCCCATTTTGCCAATAGGAGAATGGAGGCAAACAGGGTTAAGTGACTTGCCCAGGGTCACACAGCTAATATCTGAAGGCTGTATTTGAACCTAGGACTTCTTGACTTCAGGCCTAGCTTTCTCTCCACGAACCATCGTGCTGTAGGACTCATACGACTTTGACCAAATCACTTCCCTTTGTTTGGGCCTCAGATTGGGCCTCAGAAAGTTTCTGCAGCTGTCAAACAAAAGGGTTTGGACAAGATGTGACTTCTAAGGTCCCTTCCAGATTTCCAGTCTCTGATCCATAAAATGCTAATAATGCCTGTAGTTCTGACTTGGTAATGGGGCTGGAAATCTACAGTGAAATAATAATGTATGTAAAGTGCTTTGTAACCTTAACATGGATTTGTAAATTTCAGCTGTCTTGACACTCCAGGGCCCAGCCAGCACATGGAAGGAA